AATACAAACCCTGCTGATAAACAGAAGATGAATAAAAGATAAGTAAAACTTATTTAAAATAAATTCTTCAGAGTCCAAAATGTGGTATTAATATCGTGCAATTAAAAGCAAAATCACATTTGAATCAAGGTTAGATATCAACCATCTCATTAACGTAAGGCATTTTAAACTGTTATGTCATAGTATGTTAAGTCACATGAATTACTCTTATGCCTGTGATATGCCAATCTCATGTTTTCTTTTCCTATCATCTGAATAGTTTTATCAATACGAGTATTTACTTTATTAAAATATTCATCTAATATCACTTGTGTTCATTATTACTGAAACTGACAACAAGAGTTGCATGGTTATTGAGACACATTTATTTTTTGTCATCACAAAACAGTTAAATTCATTCAATTTCAAATCAAAACAGTGACATAATTTTATTGGTAGTTGAGTTAGTAGATTTATTATTTATTTTATTTTACAAAATGTTTTTTTATCAAAGGTATCTTAATGCAGAATTTTATTCTGTGCTGAGAAATCTATTATACTGGATATTGGATGAAATCACCATAATTGGATGAAATCACCATAATTGGATGAAATCACCATAATTGGATGAAATCACCATAATTGGACAGAAGCCTGTATCTCAGTAGTAAGGTAAACTACTCTGCCTAAATCCAGCTCTTTCAAATAACAAATATCACATTATATTTATTATGACCATTAAAAAATAACAAGATTTGTCAATTGTATTTATTTGTTTCGAAATACACAGTCGCAAGTTGTTGTGTTTTTTTCACAATAATATAAAGTGCAATAATTTATTTAATTTTTCACAAGGATTCAATGATTTTTCAATCAGTAGGCCATTTTGATACCGTTTATTATTTGTATTAGTTTTCATAACTTTCAAACATTTTTTTCCAACACTGGTCAACACTTTATACTCCTCCGTTTTTACAGGTGCAAATGAACCAGTGATTTGAGCTACAAAATTTATTGTTTTCTGTTTATTTTTTTTTTGGTACACTGAAAATTTACATGGTGGCAGTTCCGATACCAACACATGAAGTCAAATAGTTAGACATCATCATGCTTACCATGATAATTAAATCAAACATTTCATTAATTTTGTGAGTATAAAAAGAAAAGATTTGTTAAACATTGCCACTAGAGGGCAGTTTATAAGATGGTCAGGTTTGCAGCAGCAGGCAGATTTGATTGTGACTGATACATACTTGATTACCTTGGCCAGTAGAAGGTGGAGTAGAACTAGCACTACCTTGAAAACTATATTGTTGATATTGTGAACTGCTATCAGAATCATCATTGGCTTCCGCTATCTCTGCTGCATGCACATGTGTTGTATGCTTCTGAAATGGCAATGTACAAGAATATAAATCATTAGGTGGGAAGTGATGCAATAAACTGATTTGCATAAATTATCACGGCAACAAACTGACCAGTGCTCAGTGTTGGTATGATCACAGTATTGCTAAAATAAAACTATACAGTTGATTCAGAATAACAAACCTTTTTCGGTGAATTTTTTCCCTGTTTCCCTTTGGCTTCTCTCGCTTTGTGGATCGCTTGTAGGACCGCTACTGTATCCTGTATCAATGAATTTTCCAGAATTCTCCTCAATTTTACATAATTATCAGAGCATTACAACATGCAGCTTGAATTAGTCTTATTTAGAGTAGTAATATACATGTTATGATAGCACATAACTGGCTTGACATGAACATAGAGTTTGTAGAACTAAATCTAAAATCTGACTAAACTGTGAAGGACTGGAATATTTTTGTTTAAATACCACAGCATTTATGACTAAAAGTCATTTTTAAAGTGAGCACTAGATCAATGCAAGAAATACATGAAGCAATATAAGGTGGTAAGAAGTGATTGTAATTATATCTGGTGAAGTGTACTTATTGAGAGAGGAGAAGAGACTAGAAGAGCAAGACATGGCAAGATGACATGACACATAAGATGCTTGTTCTCATTTCACTATGGGTACATGTGTAAAATATCAACATACTAAGAAAGAATTACTTACCAGCTCTTTCTGACTCGTAATCTGACCATCTAAAGTAATCTCACTTGCTCTATCATTAAAAACCTCCAGGACTTTAGTTCTATAATCAGTTACTATGGTAACTGGATTACTTAAGAAAAATATTTTTTCCAGACATGGCAATCCTTTAAGGTGTTTTATTTCAATCACCTACAAAGAATACGTGGCATGGATTAAACTGATTTGCATAAAATGAAAACAAACATAGTTACGGTAATAATGTGAATGTTGCATTGTGGATAAGCAAATCTTCAATTTTGTGAATTTCATGAATCTTTACAACAAGCAGCCTGTCGGCTGAGATAGCTCCACTGTTAGCAATGCACATTTCAATTAAAGAACAGAAGATATCATTAGAAAATGAACAATATGTATAGTATCAAAGCAATGGGACTTGCTGTTTTCAACAAGAATTCAAAAATATCACTTTTCATCAAAAATGGCAAAAATAATCATCAAAATTAGATAATTGAAGATATCGCCACGAAATTAACAAATCTAAAAGAGGTCCACATGTAGTACCTATATATGTAATATCAAAGCAATTGGACTTGCGGTTTTCAACAAGAAGTTGAAAATGTCACTTTTTATCAAAAATAACAAAAATATTCATCAAAATTAGAGAATTTGAGATTTTGACATGAAATGAACAAATCTGAGAGGGGACCACATGTAGTACCTATATATGTAATATCAAAGCAATTGGACTTGTTATTTTTAACAAGAAGTCAAAAATATCACTTGTTAACAAAAATGACAGAAATATTCACCAAAATTAGAGAATTAAAGATATCGTTACAAAATGAACAAATCTGAGCGAGGTCTACATGTAGTACCTATATATGTCATATCAAAGCAATCGGACTTGCTGTTTTTAACAAGAAGTTGAAAATATCACTTTTTACCAAAAATATTCATCAAAATTAGAGAATTTGAGATCTTGACATGAATTGAACAAATCTGAGAAAGAACCATCCAAGTTACTTGCATATCAAATTTGAAAAAATTCTGACTTGCGGTTTCGAAGAAGAAGTTGAAATTGTAAAGTTGACGACAACGGACGCCGATGACGACAACGACGGACAATCAGTAATATGAACAGCTCCGCTGTGTCGACTTTGTCGACAGCGAAGCTAATAAAGTTAGTGCCACTGACTGCTCGACTGAAAATAAATGTTTTTTTGTTTGTTTTTTCAATAAAAGGTCACACATCCTGGCATTACATGACATTGAAAGGTCACACATCCTGACATTACACGACATTGAAAGGTCACACATCCTGACATTAGATGACATTGAAAGATCACACATCCTGGCATTACATGACATTGAAAGGTCACACATCCTGGCATTACATGACATTGAAATGTCACACGTCCTGGCATTACATGACATTGAAATGTCACACATCCTGGCCTTACATGACATTGAAAGGTCACAC